ATCCTTGGTGGTCAGGAGAAGTTTGGTGAAATCACACGAGAGAAATGTCTGGTGTCCTTGTCATTTTTTACAAGGGGTTTTCAGGTATTTTTAGCAAGCTACATATTTAAGGAATGATAACAGTTTTGTCAACTAGATAAACACCAGATTCCAAAAAGGAACAAAACCAGGAAAAATTTAATGAGTAAAATCATCGTCCAATTAGAATTGCTGAGATTTTTAAATTAAATACCAGTTTTCAAAAATTTCTATCAAGAATCTTACATGCTGCCAAAGTTAGCTCATCTCTTCAATCAAAGTAAACTATTAGTATGTGGAGGCCAAGTAAATGACAAACGGTACAGGACAAATGACAAGTGGTGTCCAACTACTGGATCCCAGTGGTCATTTCAGTGTTAGGGTTTGGGCATAGGCTGGGCAGATAAAATGCCTCTCATTCAATGTGTGTCTGAGCCAGGGTTTGGCTCAGTCTTAGACCCAGGGTTTTCAAATTGGGTACATATCAAAATCACCTGGAAAATCTTTAAAAACATACCGATGCCTAGTATGTTTAACCCCAGATAGTGGGCAATGGGATTTTTTAAAGTTCCCAGGCAATTTAACTGTGTGGTCATTCTTGAGAAAACACTGGTCTATCTTTCCCAAGGACTTGGGATAAAGCTGGTTCTGGTACCTGCCCCACATCCTGACTCAGGATTCAGACATAAGCTCAGCTTAAAGATTTCAAATCACCAATGTCTTGGAATTTTCCCTTTGTGGATAACACAATAACAAATAATGCATATGCCTTCCCCTTCCACACCACACACACACACACACACACACACACACACACACACTGAAAACTTTAAGTTTCCTCACCAGTTGGATACTTGAGCCATTCTTCACCGTGTCCCTGCTGGTGGTTAGCTTGTACAACGCACTATCATCAAAGATCTGTCTAACCACCGCATATTTAAAAAACATATTTCTGATCCACTCTTTACTTGGCAATGTCACAAACTGCAGTGTTCCCGGAGTTGAGCTGTTGTGAATGAAGTTATCTCTTCCTAAATGAAATGGCAGTTTAAATTCATATGGCATAGAATTTATTCCATTAATCCAAAGCCACAATTTATTTTCTAGAGCAAAAGGAAGCCAATTCTTTCACTTGTGCTCTGCATTTCTGCACAGAACTTTCGCTCCAGGCAACTAGACAGTTACACTTCCAAGTACTGAAATCTCCCACAATGTAGGCAGCACAGCCTGGTGTTTAACACAAGAAATCACTTTTCGCCTCAAACAGGACCCGCTGAGGGAGGAGCTGCCCGAGTTCCCTGAAGGACTGGCTCTTTGCTGGCTACAATCAGGGCTAGAATAAGGAGATAACCAAGTCCAGCTCCTTGCCACAAAAAGATCAGTCCTTTTTCATGTGCCAGGAATCACTATCAATTCTTAATGGACAATTAGCAGAAAAGGAATTCCAGATTTCCTTACCGCCAGCGAAAGCTTTAGAAACCCTTATAATCAGGAATTCCGCTTTAAGTCTGATTTAATGCACTCATGCTGGTCATTAATTAATATCATGGGGGATCCCACTGTGGTTTGTCTTGTTTTCATTTCAAACATATGAAGGTCAGGCTCAGTATATACATTATTAATTCTGTGATCTGAGTATTGCCATCAATACTGTGCTCTGTTAAAACAGCTTTATTTTCTCTCTTGGGATTTTAAAATTGAAAGAATAGTAAAGAAGTGATATGCATAATAATTTATGAAAATTCCTATTTGCATTACTTACGCAAAATGATTATTAACAAACAGAATATTGCCATGAGCACACTAACTATTCATATATCAAGAAAGCCTGAAGCATTACTGTGAAATAGCTGTGAAACTATCTTCTCTTCAGAAGTCTCTGAAGGACATACCACGAAAATCAGTGGTAGGATCACCTCACGAATACACTGGCACCTGCTCCAACATAGCTGTAGTTGCCTCTTCTCATGCTTCCAACCCGTGACTTGTGACAGGAGTTTCAAGGAGACTAAGATAAAGGCCAGTGGTCGTATAACCTCCTTGAGGTGATAAGGATGTGATCTCATCACTCACTATCCAGTATACACTCAAATATCCATGTGATAGATTGGTATCTTATTGATGTCACAAGTGTCAAAGATGAACAGAATTTAAAATATTGCCCTTTAAAACATGGCATATTATGTAAGAACTCATTCTACAGAGGATAATGGATTTTGAAGTTTATTTAAGCCCTGGAGCTCTCCTAGGAGAGGAGGGCCATTCTGAAGAATTCCCTGAGGCCTGCCAGTCAAGCACAGGGCAGAGCCATCGCGCTGCTGCAGCCTGATGTGTGCAGTTCTATCATGTCTCAATAGCAGAGAAGATAAACTTTCATTCGATATCCCAGTGAATGGGCATGAATTTAAAAAGAGAGATTCTGAAGAAACTCTAGAAAAGGAAGACAGTTAAAGTAGAAACAAGAACACCAGTTTGTTGTTGTTTCTTACAACAAAAATTTCAAGTATTCTTAGCTCATTTCTTTCATTTACACTTTATCATACGTATCTTTTCTTTCTTTTTTTAAAATATTTTTATTGATTTCAGAGAGGAATGGAGAGGGAGAGAGAAATAGAAACATCAATGATGAGAGAGAATCACTGGCTGTCTCCTGCACACCTCCCACTGGATTGACCCGGCAACCCAGGAATATACCCTTGACTGGAATCGAACCTGGGACCCTTCGGTCCACAGGCTGACGTTCTATCCACTGAGCCAAACCAGCTAGGGGTCATATGTATCCTTTCAACACCAACATTTTTACTAAAATAACATTAGAAAACTATACATTAACCTTGCAAATATTTGAAAACATTATATGTTAGAGCAAATTGACAATGTGCATGTATATGGTGGATGCCCTTCAACTCAGTAATGCTCCTTTTATGAATTCTAAGAAAGTCATCCATAAGAATGACAAGTAACCATGATAAAAAAGAAAAGACTAGAGTCATCCCAAAGGTCTCATAAAAAGAAAATGAACTTATTGAGAAAAATTTTCAAATCTGGTAACATATTCATGATATATTGTTAGGTGAAGAAAGAAGGCTAAAAAGATGTTTGTTTATATGGTTTGATTTAAATTTTATTTTAAAGCTTTTTAGTATAAAAACTATCAGAAAGCATCTTCTTTTATGAATTTCTGCATTTATTAATATGGACCTGTATTAGCTTTGTACTCAGGAAAAATTCATTCAATGTTAATATAAAAAACTGGAAGGAAGTATATCAAGATGTTACTAGTGGTATTCTTTAATTAATGGGATGATAGGCAATGTTTTTTTCATGCTTTCCCCAATTTTCTCTTTTCTGGAGAGCCTGCTCAACTTGCACAGTTGGAAAAATACACTGCTGTTGAGTGATGCACTTGAGGCTGCATCTTCATTCTTTCCTCATTAGGGACACTGGCAGTGACTGATCAGAACACATTTCAGAATGTATTGATTGAACTCTGATGTGCAAAATGCTAATGCATAATTTAAAGAGACTTTTGATTATTTGCAGTGAATTTTAAAGAAAAAAATTATTGGGAAACAATTGAACCTACTCGGCTAAACAGATTTTCCAAATGATCTGTGTCTTGGTGCCAAAGTCCTTTTCCTTAAGGGACTGGAACAGGGGTCCTCAAACTACGGCCCGCAGGCCACATGCAAATACAAATATTGTATTTGTTCCCGTTTTGTTTTTTTACTTCAAAATAAGATATGTGCAGTGTGCATAGGAATTTGTTCATAGTTGTTTTTTTAAACTATAGTCCGGCCCTCCAACTGTCTGAGGGACAGTGAACTGGCCCCCTGTTTAAAAAGTTTGAGGACCCCTGGACTGGAAGTACCATAAGGCACCTCTCTTGGGCAGTATGTCTTGGTGACGTTGTCACACATGAAGTTGAGGTGGGTGGTCCCAATAATGTGGCATTTCCTATATTCTAATTAAGTCATTCTAATTGTTTCACATGGTAGGTACCAAATATATAGATCTGAGGAATATATTTTTTCCAACTTGTTTGCTCTTGTTTTGATGTTCTTACCTATGACTAGAGCAAGGAGGAGTTTATTTCTGTATGAGAAGAGTATAAATCCTCCTTTAATGTTTTTGCCAGTTAAGAATTGAAAAAGATAACTAGTTCTTCTCAAATCATATACAGCTCTTCCCCAATCACATACAGTTAATTGTTTCATTCTAAAATAGTCATGAGTTGTTCTATTGTCTCAATTTTAGAATGCCACAATTTGCGTTATCGCTTAATACTGCAAATACTATACTGCATTACTCTCTTCTGAAACAAATTTGGTAATTTTATTTACATACCTATTAGATTACTTAACTCAAATTGGAGAAGTGGGAAAGAAGTCAAGAGCTGTGCTAATATATTACAAAGATGGCTTGTTATAGATAAAAATATTTGACTTACCTGTAAAAACATTATACAAGGAAGTCACAGTATAAGTAGCATCTTTTATGACACAGGCTCAAACACAGATGTGGTAAAGAATGACTTGCAGTTGCCAAAATAACCGAAAGACCTCTTTGTTTGTATTAGCAAATGCTGATATACAAATCTACAATTGCAAGTATTATGCCTATTAAGTAACATTTCAACAAATACTTTATAAAACCAAGAATGATTTTTAAATGTGTAAATTACACAGGGAAAGCATGTCCAAGTACCAATCTGTTTGCACTGCTTAATAGTCACCAAACATCATTAAAAGGGGAGGAGGGGCAGGCAGGTGGGGACAACTGTAATAGTGTCAACAATAAAAATAAAGTTAGGAAAACTGTCATTGTGCCGGTTCAGTTGTCATAGTTATTGTTCCTTTATGGTGTTTCCTTATTTTCTCCTTAAACATTCTTTTATTATAAAGAAATACCTGTAGCAAGGATAACACTAAAATAGAATTAACATAGCCAGAGCAAAGATAAATAAAAGTTAAAAAGCCAACCTTTATTCCACTTTGAACAAGTTTGTGAATGTCCAAATAAGGCTCCTTGAAAATGTCTCCTTCGGGGGTGAGTATCTTCACGTAACCTTCCTTTTCCAGGATGAAGAGCCGGTGGGAGCCGTCCCCACTGTGGAGGGCGCTGACCGGCTGACGCAGCCCACTCACAACCTCCTGAATGCAGAAGCAGTTGTGCTTGTGCTTTCTAGACAAATGAAAGAAACCGGTAAGCAGTGCTTAAGGTGAAGGGTGGAAGGGATGCACTTAGCATCCTTTCAAAATACATTTCCTCTAGGAAGCAATGGTTTGGATGATCCTGAAGGGCTGCTCACCCAAGGGCACAATCGGATTCTTTGAAATTCTTTTCAATTGGGGAGAAATAAAACCGAACAGCCCCCTATCAGAAAGTAAAAGAGAATTTCAAAACGTGTATTGGAAATATTGAGGGTAACGCTTTGTCAAGTATGTGATTGTCTAACCACTATGCTGTATACCTGAAACTAATACAAAATAATATTGAGTGTAAACTGTTCATTGAACAAATTTAAAATTTTTTTTAAAGAACTACCATTTACACACCACCTAGCTTCAAAAACTACATATATTTTAAAACTTCATAAGCTCATTATCTCATCTTTCAGTGACTATAATTAAAATGAGCTTTACTCACAATAATTAAACATTATAGAAGGGTGCTCGAGAGAAAGTTCTAAGATCTATTTATAAAACTCTGATTGGCTAATAATAATGTGCATCATAACCTAACAGCAAGCATACATTTCAAGTTAAAACTATACTCATAAAATTCACATGAATCATAGAGAAGCCAAGCTCATAACAAGATTAGTAATCTAAGTATTAAAAGCATTTATACTAATATGACGTTAGAGAAGCAAACTACTAAAAAGAAAAAAAAAGCATGTGGAGGGTATAGCTGCTAGACATAAGCAAAGAAAGATGAGTCACTTTCAAAGCCACAAGATTTGTTAGTTTTTTTTTTTAAAAAAAGGTTAAAGAGCATTATCTTTATGAACCTGCTGATCTCCTCCACTTTGTCATATTCTTCCATCTGGTCCAAGTAGTTAGACGCTGGTCCTCTGATTTGTTTTCTTGGAAAATCTGGAAAGCACAACCCACCATCTTTTTTTGCATAGTAAAAGCAAAACTCCTCAGCAGTAGTTTGAAGGAAACCTTTAAAAAATGTAAAAAGGCTCATCAGAAATAGTACCATGTAAAAACATCCTATTGGAAAGATAAAAACACAAGGAAAGAATTTTTTAGGAACCATATGAATAGTCTAGGAAAGTATATAGACAAAAAAGAAAGAAAAACTTTTTTTGCTTGGGATTTTCATTTTTTAACCAAAACTTGAGACATTCAGTAAAAGTGAAATTATGTCATATTGGATAGTTTAAAAGGCTCATATGAAATACACATTATACATTTCTTGTTATTGCATTGATTTATTTTCAAGCTTCCCCAGTGACCACATGTTGCACTGGTGAACTTATCCAATCACTGTTCAGCATTTTTTGCCCTAGAGTAATTCCTAAGAAGAGTAAATTAGAATCAAGAAAGAGAAAGACTATCAGATGCCAGTTTGGCCATTTTACAATTCTTACTATATTGTCACTCACATATGATTAAAAAATAAATCTAGTCGCTATCACAAGGTCATTATACACTATAATGAATGACTGACTCATTGTGCAATGATTGAGCAACGAATTGATGTTGTAACAGAGCCACCATTTTCAAATATGTAGGTGCCGTTTCCTACACTTCACTCACAGGAGAAAATGATTATTTTGCAAAACAAAAATTATATTTAAAATATCCTTTCAATTTTCTCAGGCACAATAGCTGACATACCACCCTTCGCTGAAAAATAATTATAACAAGCCAAAACAAAAAATGCAATATAGGCATCTGAAAGACAAATAATTTTGCTTACATAGTAACAATTTTTATGAAATAAAACAACTATCTATAATAATAAAAGCATAATATGCTAATTAGACCGGACAGCCGAACGACCTTCCAGACGTCATTCCAGACGTCCTTCTGGACGAAGCCATGGTGGTGGGGGACTGAGACAGAGGTGGTTAGGGGCAATCAGGCAGGCAGGTGAGCAGTTAGGGGCATCAGGCAGTCAGGCAGAGTGGTTAGGGGTGATCAGGCAGGCAGGTGAGTGGTTAGGGGCTATCAGGCAGGCAGGGAGAGTGGTTAGGGGTGATCAGGCAGGTGAGTGGTTAGGGATGATAAGGCAGGCAGGCAGAGTGATTAGGGGCAATCAGGCAGGCAGGTGAGTGGTTAGGGGCGATGAGGCAGGCAGGCAGGCGAGGGGTTAGGGGCGATCAGGCAGGCAGGCCGGCGAGTGGTTAGGAGCCAGTGGTCCTGGATTACAAAAGGGATGTCCAATTGCCGGTTTAGGTGGGATAGGGCCTACACCGGCAGTCAGACATCCCCCGAGGGGTCCCGGATTGCGAGGGGGTGCAGGCCGGCTGAGGAACCTCCCCCATGCACGAATATCGTGCACTGGGCCTCTAGTATTTGAATAAGATGAGGACTTTATGATCAAATATAATTTTTACATTACTTTTAACATTTGAGTTAATAAGGTGTTGGGTTTTTGGGAGGAGGGCATATTAATTAATGATTCAGTTCCATATTCTGATGATTCTGCTATCAAAATAATTTGTTGCTACTAGAGTTGACTTTTTATATGAAATATATGAAGTTCTAAATTCCTGCTTTTGGTCTCATACCTTTATTATGTTTAATGTTTTGATTTTTACCTAACAAATCAGATTATCATGCCTCATCAATACTGTGATAAAGGCATGTGGTAACTTAGTTGACATTCAGAAGTTGTATAATACATTCTAGTTTGCATGGATTTCTAAGAACAAGAATTTGGGGACAACCAAGTGAGGCTTATCAATGGATTATGTAAGATGTATTTCTTTTCTGTGAGCTTGACCAAAGTCCCTTCAAACCTAAAACTATTCTTGGGAACTGAGGGTCCCAAATGGTTAAAACTTGATATAGATTTTTGACCTAACTTTTGGGTAAAATGTATCCACCCCTAAACTTCTGAGGCAGATTCTTCAAGGCCAGTATCTGATTAGGTTACTGAGAAACATCTTATCTTTGGGAACCAGGCAAGAAAGAGCAGATGTCCTTGAGAATGTATGTGTGTATGTATGTGTGTGGGGGTGGGGGTTGGGTGGGAGGTGTGGACAGAAAAGGAGGCAGGGCAGTTGGGAAGGGTGCTCCTTGCGGGGGAGGGCAAGGCAGCTGGAAGAAGTTATCTTTGTTTAATAAAAAATCAGGAATTAGAAATTGAAGAGAGGGATGACCGCTGCAACATTTATTCATCTGCAGCAATTCACTGTTTGCAAAAGGTCACTTTTCTCCTCCAGTCTTTAATGGCTAAGCAGACAGAGGAAAGCTGCCTAGGGTTGTTCAACAAGTCTGCCTGAGGAAAAAGAAGGAACACTGAGCTGCTAAATCAAACTTTTTGAACAGTTTTGGGCTAGATCTTTTTTTTTTCATATATATATATATATATATATATATATATATATATATCCAAAAATATATATATGTATATATATTATATGTAATATATCTATATATTTACATTACATATAAAATATATGTTTATTATATTTAAATTGACCATCAAGCAGGAAGAACTCCATGCATTTAGGAACACTGTCAGACCATGGATATATTTATAACTGAATGTATGAAGGAGAAATTTTGTGTTAATGTGATGTTTGCCTCCGGGGTCATAGAAAAACTTCAAAGCACAATTCAGAAGAAATTTTGATTTTGGTTGTTTGCTGTTGTTGTTTTTTTAAGTCTGCATTCCAGCCTTACAGTCTGCAAACCAATAACATCTTAAGGGGAAATGAAGGAACAATGCTGGTGGCTGATTCCATTTTATAAGGAATTATTAGCTGGGGACAAATGAGGAAATGAAAAATCATTTTCAAATGCGACATCAGAAGATTAATGGTGCCGATTCATAAACTCCATGGTTCCTGGGGGTACCACACTCTTTTAGCAAATTAAAGACAAAACTAAAACAGAAGGTTCACAATGAATTACTCTGAGTTTTTTTTTTTTTTTACAAATTCTAGACTCACTGAGTCATCTAAGTGTGAAGGAGGAAGCCTACTCAGAAGACTTTCACATAAAAAAATTGACATGTTTCTTACAGTTATGATAGTTTAATTGAAATATCTAATACTCTTTGTAATACTTTACCTTAAATGATCTGCTTTGGATTATTTAAGGTAACTGGAAAGTGATGAATAATATCTTTTTCTGGGAGGAGCTGAAAGGGATCTCGTTCAGGACATTGAGCTAACATTTATTGCCAGGGAAGATGTAATTCACCAAATGGTACCCTTCTTTGGAAAACGGAAGCACATCTTACTCAAAGTGAGTGTTTAGCTCACCTTGGATCATCATAATATGATCAAGTCCACTAATAATGGACGTTCACTGATTATTCCAGGAGCCATATTTTTTGTTTAAACCCCTGATAACTTATCAACTATCTTGGACCTGGCACTATTCTCTCCTGGATCATGAACCCAGTCCTACTACACCATGAAGCTCCCTATAAAACATTGACACGTGAACAAATATTCTCAGTAGAGGAGTCTCAGCTCTAGCTTTTCTCTCACTCAGCATGTATGCTGGAGAAAAGTTATTTCTCCCCATTACATGTGGTGTTCATCATGATAAGGAAAAAATGGAAAAAAGAAAAAATGCCCAACTGTCAATAAGGCTTGCACTCCAGAGCATTTTTCTAGTAGAGGTAGTAGATTTGATGTGTCCATCTGTTCGCTCTGGTTTGTGTCTTGGGGACTAAGAAGACACATGGGTGAGGTATCTGACTGGGTGGTCAGGAGTGGCTGTGGACTAAAGCAGCTCAGTGGAATCAAATCCTTGACCTTGGCCTCATTAGCAACAGGATTAAACCAATTGAACTAATTGTGTACAGACATTTCACACTGCAGTAACCTACAGATGACGTCTTAGAGTGATAAACATCATTTTGATAGCGATGAATGGAAGAAACAAGGCTGTCGAGTGTGGGGTGCTATCACTGAGTGAACAGCAAAGCACCCACTCCCACTCTGTTCGTCATAATTCAGGCAGAAGAGAAGACCTGTGGTGTTCAGAAAGGAGCTCGTGTGATGGGTTTTTGTTTTGTTTTGTTCTTTGCAATTTTGGTACTTTTTAGAAGTTTTAAGAAATTACCCCCCAAAGTAAATTCACAACTAGCTAATATTATGATTAAGAAAACTCTAGTGTATCCTCACTTTTGTGACTTTTAACTTAAATTCTTTTCTCATGGGATGGGGAGGGCGGGGAATAAGCAGGTCATGACTATTTCTGCATTACAGTTTCTAGAAAGTAGCTATCTTTCGGGTGTCAGTGTATTGCAAAGTGACCGGTGTGTTCTTAAAACCATGAAGGTGAAGCAAAGAGACAGGTCATTTACATATTTATTATTTTATATATTGGGCAAGGGAGGAAGAAATGAAGATGTCTCTGGAATTATTTTCACCCCCTTTCAGCATTTGTTTTAGCAAAATACATACCTTAGGGTACCTTCCTCTTCATGTTTTTGATTTGCAGAAAGATGAGGTATTAATAAGCATAGTCCAAATATGTTAACTAATTTCTTATTAAAAAATCACAAAGTAGCTGTTTTTTTTTGTTTGTTTGTTTGTTGTTTTGTTTTTACCATTTTGAACTTCAGAGAAAAGTAAACCATGTCACTAAATAGACTTAAGGTGAAAATATTACAAACTTGCTTTTTGAGCAACTTCTGAAAAATCAGGGTTCTAGAATTCTAGAGTCTTCCGGGTTTGGGGGAAGGGCGGAAGGCAGGATCACCATCCTATTCATCATACTTCAGGAAATGGTAACCTGTGTGCCAAGGATCAGTCTGGCTAACAAACTGGTCAACAGAAGGAACACAAATAGTGTGATTACAGCTTACTTTGGGACCCGTATTTAGAGCGATTATTTGCATTTGATGGGTCCGGAGGAAGGCCCCCTCTGCGAGTGGCTGCAGCCTGCTAGCCTGTCCCTGGGAAGCGCCCTGGCTGCTCCGTCCACCACTGGAGTGGAGCTTTCATCTGGTTATCTTTCAAGGCAGCCTGGGTGGCCACCAAAAGCACTTGACATCTTGATGCACTTCAGCAGTTTTACATATATACAAACTCGGTAGAAAAATAAATTTGTCATTCGTCACCACATATGTTGATCTGGGGAGTGAGGTGCTTGCCGCTCTGGCTCCTGAGCTGTTTGCTGTGCTCCCTCTGACAGTGGGTATCGCTTTCTGTTGTTTGTTTTGGAAGCTACAATAACTTCAGATGCAGGAAGACCCCCATAGATGAGTTCCCAAATACAGCCTGGTTGTCTTGAACTCAAGTAGATGGAGGTAGATGAAAATGCTAAGTGTTCATATCACGCTCAGCTTACGGTGGTCAAGGCGAACCTTCAAGACTTGAAATTTGCAGCAGGCCTTCATGGGACCTAATCTGTTATCGCTTCTCGACAGGCCATCGAGGCAACCGTGACCCATTCTACTTTGCTTTGGGGAATGTGATAAAGAGGGAGAAACAGCTGGCTTAAAAAAAGCCTTCGAAACATGACTGTAGTTTATAAAGACAATAATAATATTTTCACATTGAATGGGTTTAGATCCATGTTATGCTACACCAAAGAAAGCAAGCAACCCTAGTCAAAATGTTTTCTTAGGTTATTAAGAGGGCTCTATAAAAAAATGCCAAAAAAAGGGAAATCTACACTTTTGGGTCAGAGAAAAAAGTGAAATGTGCATAGCAATGAAAAAAAAAGTTATCTAAGTGCATCCCAGAGTTCTTAAAGCTTGCCTTTTCCTCCAGTGCCATGGGGTTTTCTACACTGTTAGCTCCAGAGTTGTTTGTGTGTGACTTTGCCTAACTAAACTAAAGCTGCCTCCTTAAATTCTTTTCTACCTCTATGTTGATTCTTCCAACAACCAAAGTTTACAAACATTTGATGGTAAAATTAATCAATGCCCAAGAATGTATATGTTTATTAGGGTCCAAAACATGATAGTGACCAGGTAGACTTGGATGGCTGTCAGCATGAGAACTTCTCTGTGCACCCTCTCACTTTCTCACTGCACAACTTAGGGGGAGGCATTTCACGCCTCCGGAGCCTCAGGTGTCCTATCAATCAAGTGGACAATTCCTACCTATCTCTCAGGGTTTTTGAAGTGCAAATTAGTCATCATATGTCAAAGTGCTTTGTAAGGCTTTACTTTTTTTTTTATTTTGAATTGTATCTTATTTAAGGGAATACCTTAAAAGTCAGTGGACAATCTGCATTTATGTGTCCACTGTGTAGAGGGGGAGGCTGCCTTGATATTGATGTAGATGGGTAAAGGAGAAACCAATAAGAAATCTGTGCTGATAATCTAACACGTGTAAAGATCACCGACTGTATTACCGATTTCACAACAACAACAAAGAGCAGAACATTTCAACAAAACCAACATACTACTTGTGGACCGAAATGACAGTAATCCCATTTAGCAGCAATAAAAGTTTTCAAATTTGAAAAGGTTAGTTATGAGGAAAGAATAGGTTTGTTGAACGATGAGATACATTTTACACGCCTGGATGCAAGCATTGAAGGACAGGTGTCTTGGAAGGACATCTGCAGTTGATGTAATGTATGCGTTTTTACCTGGAATGTGGCCTCGGCAAGTGTAAAAGAATTCTTTGCAATAGTCTTTGCAGAGCAGGGGGAGGACTAGGTCTCTGTCCAAGGCTTCCCTCTCAGGTGAGTGGAACAGGTTCTGAGAATATGGAGAGCAAAGCGCACATTTGATTTCCTCCAGTAACTTCCCACATTCGGTGTTGTTGTTCACAGAAAATATCTGAAAGCCGTAAATCAGAAATAAACTCCTTTTTAGTGGTTCGAAGTTAGGGTTAGTTGCTTTTTATTTTGTAATCAGGTAACTAGAAAAGTATGATTTAGCCAATATAGTTGTCTGAAAAGAACTGCCATGGGACGGTAGAGAATGCCTGTATAAGGATATACAGGTCCTCTCTTGTGTGGAATGAGAGAGCCAAGGGTAGGGGATGGACAAAAGTCTTCTTACTCTTGCAAATCAAAGTGGTTTATCTGCCTTTCAGGTGTAAAAAAATTAAATGACAATTATAGTGAGACCCTTTATCTCTTTATCACTTTACTCTGCTTCAAAGTGTATAGTGACTGATACTTAACTTTAAAATTCCGCCAAAACCGGTTTGGCTCGGTGGATAGAGCATCGGCCTGCGGACTGAAAGGTCCCAGGTTCGATTTCGGTCAAGGGCATATACCTTGGTTGCGGGCACATCCCCGGTAGGAGGTGTGCAGGAGGCAGCTGGTCAATGGGCAGCTGATCAATGTTTCTCTCTCATCGATGTTTCTAACTCTCTATCCCTCTCCCTTCCTCTCTGTAAAAAATCAATAAAAATATATATTAAAAAAATAAAATTCCAAATACCTTTATCCACTAACAGGGTGTCTCCCAAAAAACGTATACACCTTGAATGATTATAAAGTCAGTGTTTATTAACATACAGTTCATTTTCAAAATTTAAGAGAATCTACAGAAATGAGTGTGTATATATTTTTTGGGACACCCTGTATATGTAAAGCAGAATTAAAAAATATATATATGGTTTATTTGTGTCTTGAAATTCACTCATGAAATTCCTAATTTGATATTCTCAAAGATGTTAACTTGAATTACATTTTTCTAATTTTAATTAATTTTCAATCTAAAATTGCATAGGGAAAGTTTTCTAAAGTGGGGAAAAATTTCTCCCTTTCATGTTCTATAAAAATAATATCTGGAGCTGAATCAAACGGGTTTAAGACCCATTTTTATTATTCATTATATCTTAGCCAGGAAAAACTTTCTAACCAGCTCCTCAGGTATGTTATATGCATGAATAAACTCAAGAGTCTAATAAAAGTGCTTTTGTATAGTATTTAGTAAGTCTTGATGGGAAAAGGCATGCTTTTATCCTTATTTATACAGTAGTATGTCTTTTATGTCAATAAGATCAATTTGGGTGTCATTGATTCACTGAGGTTAGGTCTCAGTGCCTTAGTACTAACTTTGAAAAACTGATTTCAGGAGTTCCTCTAATTAATATAGAGGAACAGTATCAGCACAATATTTGAGATGTGCTGTCTAAACCAATAACTGATTTTTCATATTGAAAAAAAACCTAATGGGATTGAATCTTCAACATTTTCCCAGTTTATGTAACTATATCTGTACCTAATCACTTCTTTAGAACTATGAACTGGAGTTAATATTTTAATATATAGATCATTGTTTAAAGCAAATAGTTCATTCACAAACTGAGGTTCTAATTTGAGTACATCGTACGGCTTCTAATTTTTTAGGATAAATATATTCTAGATGATCACAAAATTTGGATCTTCAAGAGCAAAGCAACTTAAATTCCATAGAAGTTACCCAGTTTCAGAAAAAAATTTACAATATGTTGTAACTATCTACGATATTCAGAAGTCACTTCTAATCAGAATTATATGTACATTTTAATTTTTATCAACTTATTTAAATGACAATTGCTTAAATGGTTAAAGTTTTCTAAAAGGAAACATACACCAGACACTTAGAATTTGCATTCCAAGAATGTTTTAAATGTCTTTTATTGTCCATACTCTGGCAGACCTCACCAGATCCATTCAATATTAATACTGTTCAACTTTGTTCTGTTTGTTTATCATACAGCAGTCCTCTAAGAACAAAACAACTGCAGGATGTTGAAACCACCTCCTTTGCTGGCGGAAAAACTGCAATGTAATTACCTTTGGTTTTATGGAGAATATGCACGCTTCCATTTTTTTATAGCTGAAACAAAATGATCCCCATATACTCTCCCAGCTGCTGTCCAGGAAGAGCTTGAAGTTAGTGCCTAAAGAATTTTGTCTTTTACAATTTTTGGAATGTGTCCTGGCCACAAGATCTCTCATCAAAAGTTTCAGAAATAGGATTCAATAAATTATCTGAAATCAAGTATAATATTATTCTTTGTAAAGTTTCATGCTGTTCCGGCCCAGCAGGATGGTAACATTTTGCTCTGTGTGAGGTCTGCAGTGTAAATACCCATTTGAAGATAGATAGAGCCATCATTCTGGCTTTGGTTTCAATGAACCAATAGTCTTACTGAAGTCAATTAAACTGACTCAGCCCAAGCTGCAACACTGTTTTAGACAGATGTGTACTGCTGTGTGTGTGTGTGTGTGTGTGTGTGTGTGTGTGTGTGTGTAGGGAATTTTTTCTTGTCAGGCTATGTGTCTGTGTCTATACAGGTCCTTAACTTTATGTCTGACAATGTCATCAATCTTAAGAAGAAATTTAAGCTAATTTCCTGTTTCGATTTCTAAAAGCCATATACGAAACCATCAAATTATAGTGGTTTAAACTAAATATACTTTGGAAATCATGTAAAACTTGGAAACATTATTACAGCATGCCTAGTAATGATTGTGGCTGTTGCTGACTAATTTATAACATCTGGCAGGTCATCCTTTAATCTTGAGCCACATGAAAGTAAAACCCATAGAAGAAAGGTAAGATAAATCCTGGAATACACAGTGAAGTGTGGCCTACAACTATAGCTTATCAACAAGTAGTAAAATGGGTGACAGAGACCTTCTGTATTTCTCCTTATTTATCAAGTAACTAAACAAAGAGCATAGAAAGGCCCCCACATGGGTTTGATGAGCGGACAAAAGGAGAAAATACATGACAGTATATTAAGATGTCACCTTAAGATCACTTGGTACATAAAAAGTTATTTCTAAAAATCATATGCCTACAATGTTCTTCAGCTGTTGGGTAGAACACATGGGTCTCTGGACTATAGTGCTGGATTATGTCATTAAAGAGTTCAGTTTCAATTTTAGGCTAATATGTAAATAGATCATTGTACTAAGGCAGCTGTTAAAGGGATCCCAGGATGAGTTATTTGTTTAGTTGGATGTGTTCAACAATAGGCTTTGTCCCTGAAAGAGCCAGAGCAAACAAATGATTGTAAAAGGGCACACTTGAAAACAATTACTTTTCACCCATTCCTTGACAGCTTTGGCTGTGAAACCACCCAAGGTAGAGAGATCTTCTATGCTTCTGTGGGTACAAGTTAAGTTTTAGAAATGGGGGTATTTCAGTTGGTAGCTGTTTGAATTTGGCAAATGGGAATTAGATCCTTTTAGCATGTTGTATTTAAGAGCTGCAAAAATATTAAGACAATATAACTTCCTTAATTTGGGCAGTAGTTATTTATAACAGTAGTTAGCCATCTCATTACAATGCTCAAAATGATTAAAATGTACAAAACATTAAACTATATTTAAATAAAAAACATAATGCCATGGCTACAGAATTGAACTTAATGCTAGTTCATTACATGAAAGAATATGTGTGAGACTGGAAACTGGACTTACTGGCACAGCTGAGCATGCTCAATACTCCTACATAGTTTGCTACTATCTGTCTATGAAGTTTCTTCCCATAGGAAAAGGCTACTCCTATAGTTTCTTGAAACGTTGCAGAAATCTTTCTGGGGAAAACATTTTTTTTTTCACAAATAAAAAAGGGTCCTTTCAAAAAGCCATCATCTCTCCTGTCCATATATTATGAAATAAGACCCTAACATATATTATAAACCAGGAAAGGTTAGGGAAAGAAGGGAAACAGTGATGTTTATTATAAAATAACATGTTTTAAAAATTATTAAAACTTGAGCGCTAACATAGGTCAAGAGTGCATAGGCATAATGATATCAAATCTCTGAGTTGCACAATTTGAGTATTGTTGGTTTATAAACCATTTGTAATGAAACCAGCAAAGTCTAGTGTACCACATTTAATTCACACACATTTCCCAAGCGCGTAGGGGTTTGTTGGAGATTGGGAGCACGTAAAATGGAAAGGAATGTGGATAGCTAACGTGGCAGATTTGCTTCCTAAAGAATGATTTCTTAAAAAAAAAAAGCTTTATATAACTTCTCTTAGGGATTATAATTCCCATCAGCGCCCCCTCCCCCAACTCCAATCTCCACTACATTTAGTTAAGAACAAACTTTTCATTCCTCATGTTCATGTTTAATATGGCAGGGGTCTGCAGATCATGGGTGTACTCACAGTATACACTGTACACAGGGAGACTTAATGGCAAATATTTCTAAACCTTCCTTTAAATTTCCTGCTTCTTTTGAGATCCTGGTAAAACCCTGCAGATGATGTGAATGTAGCTCTTCTGCCATTTAATTCAATTACAACACAGGAGCTTAAGGACATTGTTTTTGAATAAAATGCTGGAATATCTGTTCCCTGAATCTCAGACCACTGCTGCATATGGTAAGAATAAAGAGCGAGATGCAGCTGAAAACCTGCAGCAAGACAGTTCTCACTCATCTGGGAATAGAGGGAGTTGGACAAATGCTCCCTCAAAAGGCATGAACATTTGGACAGAGCTGGGGACTGAAAGAGAATGATGTTCTCTAGTTTCACCCATTAGTGAACCAACTAACAAACACAATGGTGTTGTTGTTATTCTTTTGCCATAAGCAACAGGACTCTGTGTGTGGGCAGCAGTTTAGTGGGGAGGAGGATAAGTCGACCCCTTTTTGTCCTATTGATTTTTTCCTATTTGCATGACTTGAGCAAATTAAATGATGCAATATGGCTTTTTGTTACAAAACAAAGTGAGAGATACCACCCAGACACATATGTTGATTCCTAGGAGCTGTTTACATGAGAATAGAGTGAAATCTACCGTGAACTGAGCATAAAAATTAGATTCAGCCTGGGTATTTTTTTTTTTTATTATGCCTGGGCCAGCAAGACTGAAGCAGAAGTTTTCCAAGAGACTCTCAGACCTTGACAACTGCAGTGTTGTAACAGAGGAATTCTTAATTAAACCTAAAATGGGGAAAGGGAGGGGGAGCAAAGACACCTGATTGTTTATTTCACGTGCAGTGATTGTTAATGACGTGGTCCCCCAGGCTTTCTCCGGAGTACAGTAGACCGCACACATTACTGCATCCCATGGCACGAGAGATGTTGCAAACTCAAACATAAGCCTGCGTTTCCAGTCAGCCAACACTATTTTCCTATTTCTTTAAACTTATTAACACGAGGAAAAGAGAAATGCCCTTACCCCTGACACAAGTTTCTGGAGGAGATCGTCCTGGGCAACTAAATACCAGGGAAAAGCCTGAACTGATAATATGACAAAACATTACAACCAGGGATGGGGAGTCGTCTCCGTTTCATGTGACAACTCCTCCCCAGCAAAAATCTTTCGCCAGTTTTTCGGGTTCTCCGCGGGAGCACCAGGACTTCCCTTTTCGCTATTTAACGACTGTAACGTTAGACAACCCCTCTGACGGGGCTGGGGACCATAAACCAACCATGCTTCCCCATCCTTGACGAAGCAGCCCTCTCCCTCCCCGAGCACGTGGAGAGAGCTGCACACATCTCTTCACTCCAGAAAAATAAACCGGAAACCACAGCCACCTTAATTTACAGTTTCGCCGCAGCCAATGCCTATTCGATCCAAAACACACTGTTAATCGCGATTCTTTTAAAATATGTACCCAGCCCCCGAAGGAGGGTACCACGGAAGCGCCTCTCTTCCGAGACAGGCGGTTTTGCACAGCATCCTGACCGCGGACTCCGGGGGGCGGGCGAGGTATCTGCGCTGCCCGGAGGAACACACACCACGCGATCTCGCCGGCGCTTTCGAAAAGTTACCAGAAAGAACTCCCCAGACGAACGCCGCCCTCCTTACGGCCCCCGGCACTGCCGGAGCCGCGGGGAAGCCCACCCAGCCAGCATGCCAACCTCCCAGCGGCGAGGCGGGTGCGTGCCTACCTTGTGATCCAGGCGCCCCAGCCCCGGGCTGTCACTCCGCAGGCAGCAGGAGAGCCGAGGGTAGAAGCCACCGCACAGCATCTCTCCCCCGCTCAGCAGCTCCTGCTGGGACATCATGCGCCTGTCTCTCCTTTTCAGGCGTTTCGGGGGGTTCCCGTTCAGGCACCTTCTCCTCCGCACTCCGCTCGCTTCGCTTCTTTCCCCAAACTTAGCATCTCCTTCGAAGAAGCCCAGAGCCACGGCCAGCAGCAGCAGCTTAAATGAGAGCATCTTCAGCATCGTCTGCCCGGAGCGGCCGGGGCTGGGCGCGGGCGAATGCGGGGGGAACGCCACCGCCCAGCAGGGGCACTAGGACGCAGCTCCGGGAGGAGGCTGCGGGGCGGCGGGACACTCTGGAGGCCGAGGGAGGTGGCGGGGGCGATGCAACTTTGCAAAAAAAATGAAAGGCGAGGCGATGGGTCCAGTGCCTTGGGGGAGCCCGAGGAGCGAGAGGACGTGGTGCGGATGACACCGTGGACAGCGGTGCCAGTGTCAGTGGGGTTAGGGGCTCTCTGCCGCGGCGGGGCAGTGGGAGGAGGAGAAGGAGTTGGAAGAAGAGGAGGAGAAGCCGGCCACAGAGCTTCGCTTGTCCGTGTAACGGGAGTTGTGTAGGTGAGACAGTAGCAGCGACAGAACCGGCGGCGGCGGGGCAGGCGAAGGCAGGGCCGGCGCTGGGCTCTAGATGATGCTGAGGTCTCCTCTGCCGGCGGCTGCAGCTTCTCACGCAGCCTCTCATGTTTCGTTCCCTCTTTTCTTCTTCTTTTTAACTAGCGCGCGGGGAGGTGCTGCCACCGCGCGCCCCTTGACGTCACCGCTGCTC